GTTACAAATCACAGCACGGTCTCGGAGTTGTAGAACATGTACCGAAAACATACCTATTCAGTGCGAGACCTGACCTGAACACAGGTTGTTAGATTGCAGTCTACTGGCTCATGATATACATCAGAGGAAGTAGAACATGATGTATTACAAGTCCCAGTACATCGCTATATAACCTCGTCTTGTAAACATTGGTATGTTGAGGATGGGCTAGATCAAGGGTGTGGGCAGGTCAGAAAGGCGGACTCATAGGGTATGGATCTACCGCGGACTTCGTGTGCCGTGAGCTCGTCCGCGCACAATGGGAACCGTCCCGGGGTCGAAGGCATAGTTAGCTGCTTGTATGCTAGGATAAGCCCCGGACCCGGCGTTCAGTACGTGGACCATGCCGTGTAATACACTCCTCCTCCTCCTCCTCCAGCTCACGCGATATGTACGATCCACATAGTGTCCGAGCGCGCGCGATGAAGTTACATTCATTCTTGAAGCGGCAAGTTCAGGGAATCTGCAAAGCTGTTGAGGAGAATATAACGGCTAAATTAGATAGATAGTTCGCGTTGGGCATCAAGCTCCAGCGGACCGGTTTTTACTGCCAAATGCATGACACTTACTCCCTGATCGAGCGTTTTTGGTGGGTGAGCACTAAGAACGTGTACTAGAGCGTCGGAGGAGTTTACCGGTTGTTTCTTTTTGGCACTTTTGGATTTAGGTCGATTCGAGTAGTCGGACATGTTTGGTCATGATGATGCTGGTCTGCCAAAAAAGCTCAAAAGTGTCTTGTGTTCATGTCATCTGTGAAGCGACTTGTACAGTAAGTGGCACAGGCGCATCAAACGAAACCATACTTTCGATGCAGCCGCACAGTAATCCGGTTTGCGAACATACAGATGGAGCCACAAAAAGCGCCCGTGGACTTTTCGTACTATGCTTTCTTACCCGAAAGTAATATATGTATGAAAGATATTATTTGGTAGGAGGCGAGGGAGGAGCGATCGATAGTAAATGTCGGCGGGATACTTGAGGGACCGTACTAAAAAATAGTAATGGTATTGAACCCTCAGACGCTTCGTCGACGTTACAATCTAAACGTGCCAGAGTCTTTTCTGTTCTTCGGATTTAATGGACACTTGAGTAGTAGGTTCCCAATGTATAATACAAATAGGAGGTGTATATCTGTGTCCTACGCGGAGAGTACCCTAATAAACATAGAAAGAACAACTGCTGAGAACATCACAAAGGAATGGTGTCTCCGACCCAAAGACACAGCAAAACATCAAAAGGGGCCCAACTGGGAATTGAACCCAGGACCTCTCGCACGTGGGTGGCAGCATCGAGCTCAGTGTTCTACCCAAAGCGAGAATCATACTACTAGACCATTAGGCCGGTAGTAACTCTACGCCCTGAAATTCCTGTTACCCGTCGTTTCCAACGTGGTGAATTGGTGCTAATAAAAAGAATAGAAGCCATGATCTCGTAGACTAGCTGGGTATTATGATGAGAGTGGTCATCTAGATAGACGCAATAAGACTCACAGTAAACGTGATCCTTTTCCTCCTGGTCACTCAATCCTTCGAAACCTTGGTATCCAGTCGGTCACCCGAAAGAGCTAGCCCCATTCTCCGCCTGAAAGAGTGAGGGTAGCCTCACAGACTGGATATACCAACGGGAGGCTGTGGAGCAAATACATTCAGTATCATCTGGTGTAAAAATCATATGACACGAGAGTAAGTAATAACGAAAGCCACATCCACAAAGAGGGTGAGCAAAGAGAGCATACCAATAACCGGATCCGTCAATTCTCCACGCTAACGACCGTCCTTGTCGGGATGTCTATCGGGCCGTGTGTGTCAAAAAATCAAAGTCGATTTTGAAGAATGTGGGGTTACAAGAGCAAGGCCGTATGATAATTTCGCTTCGACGCAGGCACAATTTGTCTGTTTATCACCGAAGGATCTAATCACATTGGGGTTGGTCGGCCTTTCCACTTCCACTGCATCCACATTTTGGTTTTCAAGAGGCTATCCTGCATGGTACAAGGACGCTCCGAATGCACGAACGCTTCGACATCATGGGTTATCCAAGCGCCTATACTGGGATAGTATCATTCTTGTGCTCGTGAACTTTATCCCCATGTATTTGTTGGATAGCAATATTGCCAGTGGCAGTGGCTTACAGGCGACGAGTAAGTATGCTAAATCTGGTTTGGTCACTTTGAGCCTCAGGATAGCCAAGCCAGATCACGCCCATGATGAAGTTGAGTTTTTTTTTTTTGCATGTTATCCTCTAACGATAATGAAAGACTCAGAAGATCAAAAAGGGACATCGTCTTCCCTCCTTTTTGGTTCCATGTGGATATCTCAGCGGCGAGCCCTGATACTTACCAGGGACTCAGTGTAGCAACTGAGCTGTGAACGTCGCAGTACTACACAATCACGATTCGGGTTTTGAGTTTGACCCCCGACAATGACTCGCGCATTCCGTGTTCCACCATCGAGGTAATGGGGGTTATTTAGGCCTCACGTATCGCGTAGCCACGGGTGGTATGTTGGTTCTCATATACATAGGACTCACGAATAACTGATGGCCGAGTATCGCTCAAACTCAAGTGAGAGGAGGGGGGAAATTGGGGAGCAAAACTTAGTATTGGGCCTTGGCTCGTGTATCGTGGTGAAGTGGGTGCGTACTACAACCGAACAAATTTTGACTCACTGCTCAAGCACCGTGGCGTGAGGATTACCGTCAGGGCCTCGGTTTTTGAGTGTTACTTTCCATTTTGGAACTTTGTAGGCTGCAGCTCATTCACAGTCCACATCAATGTGTACGTGGCGAGTGCGCCGAGGCAGGGACCCAAGACGAAAAAAAAAGAAGAAATATCCACAGGTGATGTAGATGTATCCCGGAAGAGCGTTGGGACTCCGGCTCCTTTGAATGATAGATAGTATGTTTTGCGGGTGTCAAGTAGCGTTGAACTGACTGAATCATGAGTGCTCCCAACTTTGGCTGATGAGACACAGAGGAATCAACATGAAATGGACTGCGGGTCCGACACTTAGCAGGGAGGGAAAAGGTTGATAATTAATTATCCGGACGGACGGTCGGGATCTACAACTCCGTGATCATAAAAAACGGTAATCAAAAGAAAGTAATGGCCAACGTGGGGATCGAACCCAAGACCTTCGCGTTAATAGAGGGTATTAGCACGACGCTCTAACCAACTGAGCTAGTCGGCCATACTGCCATACGTGTGCGCTCACAATATTATATCCCGTCACACCCCACTTCCCCCTTCTCCGACCGCAAGACAAGTTACGACCGTCTCTAAACATACACATTCCTCGCATTCTCCCGCCCAGCCTCAGCCTCCAACACCATTGCACTATCCCACCCTTCCCCATTCCCGTCCCCCTCTTTTTCCCTTGGAATTCCCAAAACAAAATCAGCTGTCCAAAGGAATCATCACACTATGCCTCAACGGAATCCGGTTTCCCAATCACGAAGAGAGAGAGTCGTAGATGTTGGCTGGAACCACGTAGGGGGCGTCTGTTTCTAGGAGGATCCGCAGGTCGGAGGGGGGCATGCGGCGGATGACGGAGGAGGTGGTGAGGTTTGTGGTGGATATTATTACGCCTGTTGGTGGGTTGGTAGAGAAAGGGAGGAGAGGAAGGAAGAAAGGAGAGAAAAGTACCTGCGGCACCGATGTAGAGGTTGGGAAAGTGAGAAGACGGTGTGCGAATTCTGGGGTGTCGGTGAAGCAGTGGATGTGGATCTGTGGGACACGCCGCGGTTGAGATGTCGAATCAAGTGGAGGATTAGGAACATGAATGACGCACTGGGTGATCCTTGGGGATGATACCTTCAATATTCTCTTGATATTGTCGTCTGCCTCTCTCATGTATATAGTCAATGGTTTCCCGACAGTCCGAACTGGGTGGGGTAGTTGACGGGCGAAGACATCTCGTTGAATTTCTCGGAGAGGGTTCTCGTAGTGGTAGTCGAGACCCATTTCTCCCCAGCCGACGCAGCGTGGGTGTGTCATGGCTTCTAATCTGTGGTCTAGAATTAGCAAGGCGACCCGGAGACGAATCATGTTTGCGTACATTTCACGTCTGATGTCATTGGTCTATTCCTTCGCGTTGTACCTATCAAGACGATTCATATTCCTCTCCTCCAACGTCTACCAGCCAAAACTTACGGACGCACACCTGAAAATGACATTCAGCACTTACAATGAAACAACGAAACAACGGAACTGACCTATAATGAACCAATACCACAGCCCACTCCACTCGGTTCGTCTCCCCTCCTCCGTCACCACTGAAATTGCAAACTCCGTCCACATCCTCTGCGCCGGGGCTTCACACCACATCTACAATCGCGTCGACCTTCTTCCCCTCGTACATTCCCTTCACAAAGTCATACACCGGTTTGTATATGGTTGTCTTGAGTTTAATTCGGTAAGTTGCGTATGTGGATGCGAGGTGTGTCTGTGTGTCGACGATGGATACGGATGATCAAGCGGTTGGAAGGGCGGGGAGGAAGAGTTTGTCTTCGGTGATGGAGTTTTTCTTTCCCATGGTTGTTGGACGACGGTAGGCGTGGGTACGGTAGGTTCTAAATCTTAGAGACGGTGGAGGTCGGTTGAGGAGTGATAATCATGATCGCGAAGCTGGTCTGGGTCGAAGGAAACAGTGGAGCATGATCTCGGACTAACGAGTCCGGTTTGTGTGCCTGGAAAGGCGCCGAGGGCCGCCCGGGACCGATGACATCTTCGAGCGCTTGTAGAGCGAACCGCCTTCGCCTTCCTTACCACCAATGCCCGACAGTTCCACCTTCCATAAGAAACATCGATTATCCACCACTTCAAGATTATACCAACTACGATCTTCTAGGGTGGTAGAATCAATATTTAATCTCGAACTCAGCTCTCCTTGATGAACCGCCTCAAGCAAAAATCAAGCGAACTCCTCGATTCAGTTCTCAATTCACCGTTGCCCTACTACATCAAACTACAGCCTACTTCATGTTCCCACACTAAATATCCGCCGCTGGGCTCTTCCAAGTTTTCACTGGCCTCAAAGACATGCCGAACACAATCTTGTGGGGTGAAGTGAATCCAGCTTTCCGACGGCGGCGGTTAAAACTCCCCCACGAGCCGAACGGAGATATTATACGGTCGGACAAGGCTTTCACATAACTTATAACGTGGAGGTGGAAGATTCAAGAGCAGTGGGAATACATACATATCGGGAGTGCTTTCGATGTTGCTCACCTTTCAAGACTCATCTAATACTCGACTCGTATTATAGCGGTTTCAGGTAATATCCAATACAGCTTCTAGTTTGAGTTTTTTACCAGACATCCTCGAGCGCTTGCCCTTACGTCGCTCGGTTGGATCTTGCTTTTACCCTTGCCATGCCCACCATTTTGACCCACCACCAGCTACCAATACTGCCTTTCAGCCACAAGCCATCACCTGGTTACAAACAAGATGGAAACCATAGGTCAGAACATCAAGGCTAGATTATCAAATCTCATCCATCCTAAATCCCGTACTTATTTTGGGACCTCGAGGCTTGACAGGTTACCCCATATTTCCCCCTTTCTTTCTCTCCTCTATCAATCATGAAGCTTTGGTATGTGCCGCGTTCAAGTGAGCTTGAAGAAACATTGACCAAATTTACTCCCCCTTCCCCCATACAGTTGTACCCTTCTATTCAACATTTTTTTGCCATCGCATCTCTTACATGGGACGTGGGCCTACCATTTTGACCAACCACCGGCCACTATCACTGCCTTTCAGGCACAAACCATCACCTGGTTACGCGATGAGGTCCACTCTGGAACAGGAGCGCTGGCCTTGTACCTTGTAGATGAAGTCAACAAACTCATCCCGGGAGGGGTCCTAGTGACTACAGGTTTTGATGAGACACAATCTGGAGGGCTACTGATATTTACAGCCACAACTGTTGGGTCAGTTTCTTGTTCTCTCATCTTGCTGTTCACCTAGATCCGAAGAGTGACTAACTCGGCTCGAAATAGTCCTCTCACCGTGATAGGTCAGTTCCTGGTATTGCAAACAGTAGAAGGGTACGTGGTATTTTGTGTGAGCATCAAGATGCTGCGCTGAGGAGAATTGTGCACCTCAGGGGTGTTTCACCTTACTTCGGAGCGGTTACCACCGAGCGGGTAATGGCCGTGACCCGCGCAAGAGAAACCACACCACCGCCAACATCAAGGTGATGAATTCTATAGATCATCATCTTGTGCCCTGGTTTTCTGGGACTAACAATCTTGCCTTTCAGTGTCCCGTCTCATCCGGTAGCCACTGGTTCCAATACCTCCGGCTTGAGAGCGAGAATCATTGGTGGCTCACTCGGGGGTGGCGCATTCCTAGTTGTACTCGTCGTCGCATTTCTTTTCTGTCGTAGGCAAAGAAGTAAGCAGAGAAGAGGTGAGCAATACACACAAAAAGTCATGCATGACATGACACTCTTTTCCACAGATCAGCAACTACAGGATTTGTATGAACCAGCGGCAGTCATTTACCCTTTTCCACCTACAACTCCTGTATTGAAGTCCTCGCGTAAACGAAAAGAATCTCCGTTGACGCCGGTCCCCGACTTCCAAAGGGCTGTTGGAGTGTCTAACCCCGGGGTAACTGAACCTGCGGGAGGCGGGCAAACTATTGATCCTCAGCAGCCTGTTACTGAGCGGGAGGGTGTCGAACATGGTGAAACCTCAACTCTCGGAGATGACAATCGATACCGGGCTGTGCAGGCACAGATACAGTTGTTGATGCAGAGAATGGAGAGGATGGAGGCTGGAGAAGAGGCACCACCGGAATATGTTTCGGCTTATGGGAGTAGTAGGTAGATGTTTTATATCTTGAATCTGACCCTTAGTTCAAATCAATCTCTTGCCATTAACCTCTTGCAAGTCGTGAGCATCTTACAAGGCGACTCTCCCTTTCCTACTTGGAGACAATTGGACAAGTGTCTTCTGTGACCTGCTCAGAAACCCTGATAACGCACTCCAAGTCATTACACATTACCAAAAAGGGACTTAGAGAGGGCTGTACATAAGACTGAGTCACATGATGATTGTGCCTTCTGGCGAGGATTATTTCTGAGCCTCGCTTTCACGTTGACACTGACAATCATTCGATAATTGAACTGCAGATGAACTCGAGAACGCAACCGGGCCACTCACCGTGAAGGAGGCATGTATTGATTCGATGGTTAGTTTGATGTTCAGGTTTTCGCCAGCGGTCTCCTTATCGTTTCGGAGACTACTAACTCGTATCTTGGTGTTGTATGAATGGGTAATCTCCAGAAAACCTGTGGATGATGATGAACCAACGGAAAAGCTTCAAGATCACATAGCCACGCGTCGAGACACGTCCGAAATTTAAAATATGGTCGAAAGATCTCCAGCTCCATTCAAACACTCCGACTTGGAGTTGTTCTTTCTCCCCACGGTTTTTGGACGGTGGTAGGTAGCGTAGGGTTTGTCTGATCATGAACACACGATCGGGATGTTACATGAATGGCCTGCGGTGGCCTCCGAAGTCGAAAAGACCGTGCTGTCCGTCTCTCGTCCTCGACCTCCCCACTACATCAGCCCTTTCGCCAGCCCAGAGTACAGGTTGATAAGTACTAAATTCTGATTTTTACGCCAGTGCTACCAATCCCGCAGACACCGATATAAAGTCTTCATCGAAGTCGTCAGCGCTTCAGCTTCATCTCCAAGTTATCACGGAAACAGAAAACCCACGTTGAGGACACACTTTCACCTCGAGGTCGTGCTCAAGAACGCTACAACGGTATCCGAGTTGTGAAGATTTCCATCTAGGGGCCGTAGCATCGCTCGAGTGGGATCTGGGGTTGACAGGGCGCGTGTGACCACCAGAGCGCCTATTAGTAGATCACAGTCAGTATAGCGTGAACGGAAGGAACACCGTTGGCCCCTGTATCAATCCAGCGCTGAATCGATCCATCCTACGAGATAGATCAGTCCGAACAGCCATTTGCGTGGGTCAATCTGACCCGGTGAGAGCGCGAAGATTGATACACCTCGCTGATTCATTTGATCTGGCCTCAGCAATCAACCCAACCCGGGAGTATTAATCAGTGGAGAATACATCCAGCTAGTTGCATGCATTACATCAGTCCGTTGAGCGGATTGATTCATCCCACTTCGCAATTTTATCCAAACATTGAGCAGGTTGAGT